GTGAGAAATGTTGAGGGGAGAGCAGTGGGACTTTCCCCTTTGTTCTCCCTGCTGGGCCCTGAGGATCAAAATTATATAAGAGATACTATCTCTGTGGGGCTGGGTATCACGGAGGTGAGACATTTTCAGGGGAGGGCAGTGGTACAGACTCCTCTTTGGTTTTATTGTGGGCTAGAAAAAGGTGGGGGCTGGCCATCATGAGGGTTGAACATCAGTATTATAAGATTGTAGGACAAAAAGACACAGGAAAAAAAAAACACAGGAAAAAAAAAACACAGAAAAAAGGTCACAGGAAAAAAGTCACAGGAAAAAAAGTCACAAATATTAAATATATATTTGCATGATATTTGTTAATACTTTTATGTATTAAATATTTAGAGTGTGCAAATTAACTTAGGATTAATTAAATGTAATGTAATGTGTATAGGCTATATACGCATAGGACTTTTTATAATTCATCCAAAAATATTTATTATGAAGTATGTAGTTGTAATTATTTTATACTTAAAATTAGTAGCATTTAATAGAATGCCCCAAAGTCCACGTTTTTCATCGTGTTTTTTTTAAAATACCAATATTAAATTCATCTGACTTGCTGCCCTCAACTCATGGCAACAATAGTTAAGTTTAGTTCAACCACCTTTACTGCCCACATTTATCACGCTCATTACATAACAAAACTTAGGATCAAAACAGAAAGCCGACAAGGTTCAAAGGCTGTCATTGACGCATAACGTCAACACACAAAACATGTTCGGACAATGCCTACTGAGGAGAGGCCGACCAGAGATTAGCCTACTACAAAACATATGCAAAACACAATGATGTGCTTAAATTTCTTTTATAATTAACTTTTCTACCGCGTATTTAACTAAATACGTAACAAAAGTTGAGATTGTTGTGTTAATAATCTTATAGTATTTTTACTTAAAATTGTTATAAATCATAATGCTTTTAACGTCTATAAATAATTTATGCTATCAAAAAATACAACCCACAACAATAAACACACACAATTTACAATTCTTAAAAAATTAATAAAAGATTTCTAAAAAGATTTTTGTGACTTTTTGTGACTTTTTACTTTCTCGTATATACGAAGTATAGAGAAAGTCTTGTAATCGTACAAAAAAAATCGAGATTTTTACAAATCTCGACGTTTTACACCTCACTGATCTTGTCCGTATGTCTGTGTGTATGTGTGTGTGTGCGTGTGTGTGTAAACACGATAACTAGAATACCGTTACAGCTAGGTTGTTGAAATTTTATATATAAGTATTTTATCAAAATCGTAGGTCCTGATCAACTTTTGAGCGATTTCCGTTAACCGGAAGTGGTACTTTTTCTACTTTGAATTTTTTCAAAAGCCTTTAACTTGATTACTATTTCAGATAGATAAATGAAATTTCACATGTAAGTAAAAGATCTAATTCTCTACCTCCTTCTGTCAAATTTTGAGTAATTTCCGTTGACCGGAAGTACTAATTTACGCTATTTCCGATTTCTCAAAAAACGCATGTAAATTTATAAAGTACTAATAATATTGCGCACTATTATGCACATTTCGTTTTGGCGTTTGCTTAGTGCACAATTCTTTTTTCTATGAGATTCTATTCTATTTTTGAAAGTTTAAGTAATTAAAAATCATGTCCAGTGTTTCTTCCAGACTTTTTTCTCGGGGGGGGGGGGGGGGGGGGGGGGGTTGGGGACTTAGAATTTTCGGGGGGGGGGGGGCGGTAGACTTTCTTCGGGGGGCGGACACTGTTAAAAGTATATATTTTCTATATAAATTATATAAATTTCATTACGTTCGTTCGGGCGGTAAAAAAAAAAATTCGGGTTCCACTGCCTGGAAGAAACTCTGATCATGTCTATATTCCAATTTATATAAGAATATTCGAGATAGTTTAGGGGAGATCACGCCCGGTTTATTTTCTGTGACTTTATTTCTGTGACTTTTTTTGTGTTTACGTCCGGTGTACACCACCGTGGCGGAGGACGCTGGTATCACGTGATTTAGGTTACGTGTTTGCAAGGACTCAATACAAATAAAAATGGCATATATATATATATATATATATATATATATATATATATATATATATATATATATATATATATATATATATATATATATATATATATATATATATATATATATTAAAGCTGGCTCCTTTTGTGCACCTGCCAACGCTCCAGTCTGTTGTGAACACAAAATATGTGTTTTTATGTAGTCCCTGTGTTCGGGAGTTTGTGTTTAAGTTTAGGTAGTTCCATTGTTCGGGACCTAGTGGACGGCACAAAGTGGACGGCACAAAGTGGACGGCACAAAGTTTACGGCACAATGTGGACGGCTGGCACGGTCAAGGCTGGAAGCCAATAATCAAGGACAGTAATTCCACTGTAAAGCCGTAAAGACAGACACACGCTGTGTATCGGCCTGTTAATGCAGACTAATGTTACATTGGCCCTTAAAGACAGACACACGCTGTGTATCGGCCTGTCAATGCAGACTAATGTTACATTGGCCCTTAAAGACAGACTAATGTTACAGACATTGGTCCTTAAAGACAGACAAATGTTACATGACGTCATTACTGTCAAGACATATGAATGGAATATTAAGTGTGTCTCTTTCAATCAGCGAGTTTTCGCGCATGCGTAAACATTTAATCTTCTCCGATGTCTGGTGGTTTATTACTTCCGGTCTAGCTAGCATCACGTGATTGTGAACAGTTCTCCAATTGTTTTGGCTTTTTGCTGGTAACACAACACACAAAGGTAATGCAAAACACAGAAAGGTAACACAACACAGAAAGGTAACACAACACAGAAAGGTATCACAACACAGAAAGGTATCACAACACAGAAAGGTAACACAACACAGAAAGGTAATACAACACAGAAAGGTAACACAACACAGAAAGGTAACACAACACAGAAAGATGGTAACACTGCACCAGAAGGTAAGAAAAGAGATTAGATGTTTTGTTTTTACGATTTTTTTTTCATTAACTTGCTTCGACTATCCCCATTCATAGGTGAAACTGACGAGCAAAATTTCGACCATTTCTAACGGACTTATTTGCTCGAAACTTGGCACGTGGAAAATGCAATATGACATCAAATCTAACTTAATTGGATGTTTGATTAATGTAAGTACTTTTTTCCGCGCTATTATACGCACATTGTGTTCATTTGGTGAGCAACTGTTTTTAGTTAGATAGGCCTACTGTTTTTGTTTATGTTTGCGTTTTCGATTATGTTTGCCTTTAAGTTTGTGTTGATGTACGCGTTTATGTTTGCCTTTAAGTTTGTGTTGATGTATGCGTTGATGTTTGCCTTTAAGTTTGTGTTGATGTATGCGTTTATGTTTGCCTTTAAGTTTGTGTTGATGTATGCGTTTATGTTTGCCTTTAAGTTTGTGTTGATGTATGCGTTTATGTTTGCCTTTAAGTTTGTGTTGATGTATGCGTTTATGTTTGCCTTTAAGTTTGTGTTGATGTATGCGTTTATGTTTGCCTTTAAGTTTGTGTTGATGTATGCGTTTATGTTTGCCTTTAAGTTTGTGTTGATGTATGCGTTTATGTTTGCCTTTACGTTGTTTGCTTTTAACTTGCGTTATGTTTCCGCTTACGTTAATTTTTGCTTGTATGTTCACTATTATGTTGGTGTTTGCATTATATTTTGAGGTTTTTTTTTTGCATTTACGTTTGGATTAGTATTTGCATTAATGTTTACGTTTGAGTTTATATTTATATTTGCTTTTTTATTTGCGATTGCGTTTTCGTTTATGATTATATTTGTGTTTATATTTGCGCTATTTGTTTGTATTGTTGTTCCGTTTGTGTTTATATTTTCAAACGTTCATATTTACCAGTTAACTTTTACTTAAAATATATATTCCAAAATTCCGGGGAGCTGCTAAATTAGCACACGTCGCTGTCTTTAACAGAAAGGTTTACCGTACTGTCCGTGCATGGCCTGGCCGGTACGGCGAGTACAAGAATACACGAGAAAGTTGGTACGGCGAGTACAAGAATACACGAGAAAGTTGGTACGACGAGTACAAGAATACACGAGAAATTTCAGGGGAAATCACTCCCGCTTTATTTTACATGTGTTAAAAATATCAAAACAATAAACATTATTTCCACATCTGCCCATATAGCGTATATCAATATTTATAAAAGTAAGGTTATTTTTAAATTACATATGTAACAGCACATGTTATTAACATACTTCATGCAAATATGTTAGTGTTCTATGTTAAAGTGTGCTGTGTTAAATAGTGCTGTGTTAAAGTATGTTGTGTGTTAAAGGGAATATGGGCATTAAATAAATCACCAATTTTTCGTCATAATGAGTTTCCTTTTAGATGCTTCGTCCATCTTTTTATTGATAAAATAATAATTTTAAGGAAAAAAAAATAATGTGTTTAAAATACACTTTTTAAGAGCCTTTTAATATTTTCTTTTCGTGTACAAAAAGGTTTTTTTTTCGTCATTTGGAATGGTTGCAAAGCTGGATTTCTCATGTATTTGATAATAGTATTTTACATCATCTTGCAAACACCCAAAGCTTACAACCGGCTTTACAAATTACACAGAAATTGTATTTTTGTGACCTACTTTTCGATACTTTTTGCTTTTTTTTTCAGTTCGCAGTTTTTTAGCACTAAAACCCTACTTCTTTTTTTTTATTTATGAAATGCCCACCATATTTTCAGAATTTTTTAAATGCAAAAATAAAACTTGGGAATAGTGATAGCTTTGATAGAAAAAAAAAATGGTAATAATATGCACATTCTGAAACTTCTGTATGCTAAAAAGGTTGCGGTTTTTCCAGACCTTGTAGAATCCTGGCCAGTGGCTCTTTCAATTCTGGCCAGTGGCTCTTTCAATTCTGACCAGTGGCTCTTTCAATTCTGGCCAGTGGCTCTTTCAACTCTGGCCAGTGGCTCTTTCAATTCTGGCCAGTGGCTCTTTCACAGTGGCTCTTTCAATTCTGGCCAGTGGCTCTTTCAATTCTGGCCAGTGGCTCTTTCAATTCTGGCCAGTGGCTCTTTCAATTCTGGCCAGTGGATCTTTCAAAAAGTTGTCGTGACAAAGTTTTAATATATACTGAAATAAAAGCAGTTTATATTTGATTGCTATAAGTGCATAAATTTAAAAAAAAAAAGCCTTAGCGTTTTTAATAGTACCGAAAAATTCAAAATGGCGAAGGTTTTTTCGAGTTCTCATGACAACCAACATTTGTTTTTTGTGTTGTTTAATAATTACTTCTGTGCCAAACATGGTAAAAGTATTCAAAAGGCTTTAGATCTTAAATTCTAAAATAAATCTTTAAAAAGTAAACTGAGCATATCCCCTTAAATAATTGACGTGACACACTTATCAATGACAGAATTATTCCCCCTTCTCGTGTCTGTCTTCAACTCCGAGCTGATCACAATGTCTGTTTGTGTGTTTGTCTGCTCTTCTTGTCTGGTTGCCTGTTCCTCTAGAATGTCTGCCCTAGGTCTGCCCTTGTCTGCCTTACGTCTGCCCTTGTCTGCCCTGCCGATGACCGGCACATCCTCTGCCACTTTGGTCAGCCGGTGATGTGAGAAGCCGGTCAGGTCTCTACTCAACGAAAAACGTTTGCCGGTTGCGCCTCTGCTGACGTCAGCGGGTGGGGGTGTGGGCGGGCGGCCCCTGCGGGCCAGGAACATGTCTTCGGGGCAGGTGTTGGCCCTGCGCCGCGGTGAGGGCGGGATCCAGTGGTGGTCAAGCTGGCCCGCCCACGGGTCCTCTCGGCCGTCCTCGCAGGTCACGGTGATCTCCGGCAGGCGGGCCGGCAGGCCCACAGGATCGGAGTTGGCCCGCGGCCTCTTGGTCTCGTCCACATGGAGGAGGTCAAGGTCACAGCGGTCCCATGACGCCATCTTGAGTCTGTGAATAGAGAGAAGTTGGTTACTAGAGCATTAAGACCACCAGAGCCATACTAGAGACGCGGCCTACTAGATGGCCCACTAGAGATATGCGGCCCACTAAATGGCCCACTAGAGGACCCACTAGATGGCCCACTAGATGGCCCACTAGAGACATGCGGCCCACTAAATGGCCCACTAGAGGACCCACTAGATGGCCCACTAGATGGCCCACTAGAGACATGCTGCCCACTAAATGGCCCATTAGAGACATGCATCCCACTAGATGGCCCACTAGATGGCTCACTGGATGGCCCACTAGATGGCCCACTAGATGGCCCACTAGAGACATGCGGCCCACTAAATGGCCCATTAGAGACATGAATCTCACTAGATGGCCCACTAGATGGCCCACTAGATGGCCCACTAGATGGCCCACTAGATGGCCCACTGGAGACATGCGGTCCACTACATGGCCACCTAGATGGCCCATTAGAGACATGCGGTCCACTAGATGGCCCACTAGATGGCCCACTAGATGGCCCACTAGATGGCCCACTAGATGGCCCACTAGATGGCCCACTAGATGGCCCACTAGACACACGCGGCCCTTTAGATGGCCCACTAGATGGCCCATTAGATGGCCCACTAGATGGCCCATTAGATGGCCCACTAGATGGCCCACTAGAGACATGCGGCCCTTTAGATGGCCCACTAGATGGCCCACTAGATGGCCCACTGGAGACATGCTGTCCACTAAATGGCCACATAGATGGCCCACTAGATGGCCCACTAGATGGCCCACTAGAGACATGCGGCCCTTTAGATGGCCCACTAGATGGTCCATTAGATGGCCAACTAGATGGCCCATTAGAGACATGCGGCCCTTTAGATGGCCCACTAGAGGACCCACTAGATGGCCCACTAGAGGACCCACTAGAGGACCCACTAGATGGCCCACTAGAAGACCCACTAGAGGACCCACTAGATGGCCCACTAGATGGCCCACTAGATGGCCCACTAGATGGCCCACTAGATGGCCCACTAGATGGCCCACTAGATGGCCCACTGGAGACATGCGGTCCACTACATGGCCACCTAGATGGCCCATTAGAGACATGCGGTCCACTAGATGGCCCACTAGATAGCCCACTAGATGGCCCACTAGAGACATGCGGCCCTTTAGATGGCCCACTAGATGGCCCATTAGATGGCCCACTAGATGGCCCACTAGAGACATGCGGCCCTTTAGATGGCCCACTAGATGGCCCACTAGATGGCCCACTGGAGACATGCGGTCCACTAGATGGCCCACTAGATGGCCCACTTTATGGCCCACTGGAGACATGCGGTCCACTACATGGCCACCTAGATGGCCCATTAGAGACAATCGGTCCACTAGATGGCCCACTAGATAGCCCACTAGATGGCCCACTAGAGACATGCGGCCCTTTAGATGGCCCACTAGATGGCCCATTAGAGGACCCACTAGAAGGCCTACTAGAGGACCCACTAGATAGCCCACTAGAGGATCCACTAGAGGACCCACTAGAGGACCCACTAGATGGCCCACTAGATGGCCCACTAGAGGACCCACTAGAGGACCCACTAGAGGACCCACTAGATGGCCCACTAGAGGACCCACTAGATGGCCCACTAGAGGACCCACTAGATGGCCCACTAGAGGACCCACTAGATGGCCCACTAGATGGCCCACTAGAGGACCCACTAGAGGACCCACTAGATGGCCCACTAGATGGCCCACTAGAAGACCCACTAGATGACCCACTAGATGGCCCACTAGAGGACCCACTAGATGGCCCACTAGATGGCCCACTAGAGGACCCACTAGATGGCCCACTAGAGGACTCACTAGAGGACCCACTAGATGGCCCACTAGAGGACCCACTAGATGGCCCACTAGATGGCCCACTAGAGGACCCACTAGAGGACCCACTAGATGGCCCACTAGATGACCCACTAGAGGACCCACTAGAGGACCCACTAGATGGCCCACTAGAGGACCCACTAGATGGCCCACTAGATGGCCCACTAGATGGCCCACTGGATGGCCCACTAGAGGACCCACTAGATGGCCCACTAGAGCCAACAAGCACATCACGTCATCTGAACAAAAGCAGAGCTAGAAAACTGAGCCAATTTGTCCAGAACTTTGCCGAGTGCTTGAAAAAAGTTTTTTACATGAGAGCTGAAATGGCCATCATTTGATTCACGCACACACACACACATACAAAGCTTTTAACATTAGAGCTGAAATGGCCATCATTTGATTCACGCACGCACGCACACACACACATACAAACATACACACATAAAAATACACACATACATAAACACACATATAAATACACACATAGAAACACACACATGCGAACACACACACATATACAAACACACACATATAAACACACACACATATATACAAACACACACATACAAACACACTCAGACACATACAAACACAAGCACACACATATAAAAATACACACACACATATACAAACACACCTATTTACACACGCGCCAAATTTGTTTTAGTCCAAAGACATTATATCAGTGGTGGCTCGTTTTGTGATCCACATAAGCTACCAAACACATAAACACACAAACACGCGAGTACACTCAACACATAAACACACAAACACGACTGTACATTCAACACATAAACACACAAACACTCGAGTACACTCCACACATAAACACACAAACACGCGAGTACACTCAACACATAAACACACAAACACACGAGTACACTCCACACATAAACACACAAACACGCGAGTACACTCAACACATAAACACACAAACACTCGAGTACACTCCACACATAAACACACAAACACGCGAGTACAATTAACACATAAACACACAAACATAAAGCGTTTGGGTAAAAAAAAACAAGATATCGATTTCGAAACGTCGTAGTGATAAAAATCAATTATGTGCGTATCGATACCGAGCGTCAAACGTCCCGTTTTTTTTCCAGCAAATGAAAGCCATCGGACGCCATCTTGTGGGCTGCACTAATGGGCAAATGGGGGGCGTTAAGAGGCCTCGTCTGGTGGCTAAATTATGGCAAGATGGCCGACAATCCTAAGCTGTGACGTCACAATCAATCTCAGAGACATGACAGAGTACAAAAACATTTCACAGAAAACACAGCGACTGTCAGCATTCACTGTGGTGGCAGGCAACATGGCCATGTCCGGCAGGTCAGATGGCCATGTCCTGCAGGTCAGATGGCCATGTCCTGCATGTCCGGCAGGTCAGATGGCCATGTCCGGCAGGTCAGATGGCCATGTCCGGCAGGTCAGATGGCCATGTCCGGCAGGTCAGATGGCCATGTCCGGCAGGTCAGATGGCCATGTCCTGCATGTCCGGCAGGTCAGATGGCCATGTCCGGCAGGTCAGATGGCCATATCCGGCATGTCAGATGGCCATATCCGGCATGTCAGATGGCCATATCCGGCATGTCAGATGGCCATGTCAGGCAGGTCAGATGGCCATATCCGGCATGTCAGATGGCCATATCCGGCATGTCAGATGGCCATGTGAGGCAGGTCAGATGGCCATGTCAGGCAGGTCAGATGGCCATGTCCTGCATGTCCGGCAGGTCAGATGGCCATGTCCGGCAGGTCAGATGGCCATATCCGGCATGTCAGATGGCCATATCCGGCATGTCAGATGGCCATATCCGGCATGTCAGATGGCCATGTCAGGCAGGTCAGATGGCCATGTCCTGCATGTCCGGCAGGTCAGATGGCCATGTCCGGCAGGTCAGATGGCCATTTCCGGCAGGTCACATGGCCATGTCAGGCAGGTCAGATGGCCATGTCCGGCAGGTCACATGGCCATGTCCTGCAGGTCAGATGGCCATGTCAGGCAGGTCAGATGGCCATATCCGGCATGTCAGATGGCCATGTCAGGCAGGTCAGATGGCCATGTCCTGCATGTCCGGCAGGTCAGATGGCCATGTCCGGCAGGTCAGATGGCCATGTCCGGCAGGTCAGATGGCCATGTCCGGCATGTCCGGCAGGTCAGATGGCCATGTCCGGCAGGTCAGATGGCCATGTCCGGCATGTCCGGTAGGTCAGATGGCCATGTCCAGCAGGTCACGTGGCCATGTCCGGCATGTCCGGCAGGTCAGATGGCCATGTCCGGCAGGTCAGATGGCCATGTCCGGCAGGTCAGATGGCCATGTTTGGCAGGTCACATGGCCATGTCCGGCAGGTCAGATTGCCATGTCCGGTAGGTCAGATGGCCATGTCCGGCATGTCCGGCAGGTCAGATGGCCATGTCCGGCAGGTCCGGCAGGTAAGATGGCCATGTCCGGCAGGTCCGGCAGGTCAGATGGCCATGTCCGGCAGGTCAGATGGCCATGTCCGGCAGGTCCGGCAGGTCAGATGGCCATGTCCGGCAGGTCACATGGCCATGTCCGGCAGGTCAGATGGCCATGTCCGGCAGGTCACATGGCCATGTCCGGCATGTCCGGTAGGTCAGATGGCCATGTCCGGCAGGTCAGATGGCCATGTTAGGCATGTCCGGCAGGTCACATGGCCATGTCCGGCAGGTCAGAGGGCCATGTCCGGCAGGTCAGATGGCCATGTCCGGCAGGTCCGGCAGGTCAGATGGCCATGTCCGGCAGGTCACATGGCCATGTCCGACAGGTCAGATGGCCATGTTAGGCATGTCCGGCAGGTCACATGGCCATGTCCGGTAGATCAGATGGCCATGTCCGGCAGGTCAGATGGCCATGTCCGGCAGGTCAGATGGCCATGTCCGGCATGTCCGGCAGGTCAGATGGCCATGTCCGGCAGGTCTGGCAGGTCAGATGGCCATGTCCGGCAGGTCCGGCAGGTCAGATGGCCATGTCCGGCAGGTCAGATGGCCATGTCCGGTAGGTCAGATGGCCATGTCCGGCAGGTCCGGCAGGTCAGATGGCCATGTCCGGCAGGTCACATGGCCATGTCCGGTAGGTCAGATGGCCATGTCCGGCAGGTCAGATGGCCATGTCCGGCAGGTCAGATGGCCATGTCCGGCATGTCCGGCAGGTCAGATGGCCATGTCCGGCAGGTCCGGCAGGTCAGATGGCCATGTCCGGCAGGTAACATGGCCATGTCCGGCATGTAACATGGCCATGTCCGGTAGGTCAGATGGCCATGTCCAGCAGGTCACGTGGCCATGTCCGGCATGTCCGGCAGGTCAGATGGCCATGTCCGGCAGGTCAGATGGCCATGTCCGGCAGGTCACATGGCCATGTCCGGTAGGTCAGATGGCCATGTCCGGCAGGTCAGATGGCCATGTCCGGTAGGTCAGATGGCCATGTCCGGCATGTCCAGCAGGTCAGATGGCCATGTCCGGTAGGTCAGATGGCCATGTCCGGCATGTCCGGCAGGTCAGATGGCCATGTCCGGCAGGTCAGATGGCCATGTCCGACAGGTCAGATGGCCATGTCCGGCATGTCCGGCAGGTCAGATGGCCATGTCCGGCAGGTCCGGCAGGTCAGATGGCCATGTCCGGCAGGTCCGGCAGGTCAGATGGCCATGTCCGGCAGGTCAGATGGCCATGTCCGGCAGGTCAGATGGCCATGTCCGGCAGGTCCGGCAGGTCAGATGGCCATGTCCGGCAGGTCACATGGCCATGTCCGGTAGGTCAGATGGCCATGTCCGGCAGGTCAGATGGCCATGTCCGGCAGGTCAGATGGCCATGTCCGGCATGTCCGGCAGGTCAGATGGCCATGTCCGGCAGGTCCGGCAGGTCAGATGGCCATGTCCGGCAGGTCAGATAGCCATGTCCGGCAGGTCACATGGCCATGTCAGGCAGGTCAGATGGCCATGTCCGGCAGGTCACATGGCCATGTCCTGCAGGTCAGATGGCCATATCCGGCATGTCAGATGGCCATATCCGGCATGTCAGATGGCCATGTCCTGCATGTCCGGCAGGTCAGATGGCCATGTCCGGCAGGTCAGATGGCCATGTCCGGCAGGTCAGATGGCCATGTCCGGCATGTCCGGCAGGTCAGATGGCCATGTCCGGCAGGTCAGATGGCCATATCCGGCATGTCCGGCAGGTCAGATGGCCATGTCCGGCAGGTCAGATGGCCATGTCCGGCATGTCCGGCAGGTCAGATGGCCATGTCCGGCATGTCCGGCAGGTCAGATGGCCATGTCCGGCAGGTCAGATGGCCATGTCCGGCATGTCCGGCAGGTCAGATGGCCATGTCCGGCAGGTCAGATGGCCATGTCCGGCAGGTCACATGGCCATGTCAGGCAGGTCAGATGGCCATGTCCGGCAGGTCACATGGCCATGTCCTGCAGGTCAGATGGCCATATCCGGCATGTCAGATGGCCATATCCGGCATGTCAGATGGCCATGTCAGGCAGGTCAGATGGCCATGTCCTGCATGTCCGGCAGGTCAGATGGCCATGTCCGGCAGGTCAGATGGCCATGTCCGGCAGGTCAGATGGCCATGTCCGGCAGGTAACATGGCCATGTCCGGCAGGTAACATGGCCATGTCCGGTAGGTCAGATGGCCATGTCCAGCAGGTCACGTGGCCATGTCCGGCATGTCCGGCAGGTCAGATGGCCATGTCCGGCAGGTCAGATGGCCATGTCCGGCAGGTCAGATGGCCATGTCCGGCAGGTCACATGGCCATGTCCGGCAGGTCAGATGGCCATGTCCGGTAGGTCAGATGGCCATGTCCGGCATGTCCGGCAGGTCAGTTGGCCATGTCCGGTAGGTCAGATGGCCATGTCCGGCATGTCCGGCAGGTCAGATGGCCATGTCCGGCAGGTCCGGCAGGTAAGATTGCTATGTCCGGCAGGTCCGGCAGGTCAGATGGCCATGTCCGGCAGGTCAGATGGCCATGTCCGGCAGGTCCGGCAGGTCAGATGGCCATGTCCGGCAGGTCACATGGCCATGTCCGGCAGGTCAGATGGCCATGTCCGGCAGGTCACATGGCCATGTCCGGCATGTCCGGTAGGTCAGATGGCCATGTCCGGTAGGTCAGATGGCCATGTTAGGCATGTCCGGCAGGTCACATGGCCATGTCCGGCAGGTCAGATGGCCATGTCCGGCAGGTCAGATGGCCATGTCCGGCAGGTCCGGCAGGTCAGATGGCCATGTCCGGCAGGTCACATGGCCATGTCCGACAGGTCAGATGGCCATGTTAGGCATGTCCGGCAGGTCACATGGCCATGTCCGGTAGG